GAGTGCTTTCTGTATCTGCTTGACACTGTGGAGAAGACTAAGTCCAGAACACATAATAACTTTCTTTGTTTTACTATAATGTTGATGGTTTCTTCTATTTTCAACTTTAATTTTTGCCTGCTTCTCATAAACTGGCAAAAACTAAGAGATGCTAGGTTCCTTAGAGTTAAGCAGCTTGTAGCGCTATTTGAAACAAAAATTGAAAATATTTTAAAGTAAATTCAATTAGTAAATTTGTAATTATTGGCTGAATAAACTATACTTTTAAATTTAATAAATAGATACATAATCAGAAGGGACCTCAGTGGGCCATCTAGTTCGACCCCCTGCCCCTGGCAAGCAAGAAAAGAAACACCAACTCTGGGGTCATGTGATCCCAACCAGGTGCCTGTCCAGTCTCTTCTTGAAGACCACCAAGAATGGGATGAGCACCACCTCCCTTGGGAGCCCATTCCAGATTCTGGCAACCCTGACCGTGAAAAACTTTTTCCTAAGGTCCAGCCTGAATCTTCTCTCTAGTAGCTTATGGCCACTGTTCCTTCTCATCCCAGAGGGTGCCCTGGTGAACAGATCATCACCCACTTCATGTTGCTCTCCCCTTATGAATTTCTACGCTGCCACAAAGTCCCCTCTCAACCTTCTCTTGGAGAGGCTGAAGAGGTTATGGTCCCTTAGCTTTTTCTTGTAGAACCTTCCCTGTAGGCCTCAATCAGGCGAGTGGCTCTTCTTTGGACCACCTCCAGGTTGTCCACATCCCGCTTGAACTGCGGCATCCAGAACTGGACACAGTACTCCAGCTGCAGTCTGACCAATGCCGCATAGAGGGGGAGAATCACTTCCTTGGACCTGTTTGTGAAGCACCTACAGATGAACAACAAGGTGCGATTGGCTCTGCCAACTGCTTCATCACACTGGCGACTCATGTTCATTCTGGAGTCAACAGTGACTCCAAGATCTTTTTCTGCCTCAGTGGAGCTGAGGTCGCCCCCCAGACTGTAGGTATGATGCCAATTCTTCCTCCCTAGATGCAGCACCTTGCACTTGTCCTTATTGAACTGCATCCTGTTGCTCTCTGCCCACTTCCCCAGCCTGTCTAGGTTGGCCTGGATCTGGTTCCTCCTCTCCAGGGTGTTAGCTGCATCCCGTAATTTTGTGACATCTGCGAATTTGGACAGGGTGCTTCCCACCCCCTCATCCAGATCACTGATGAAGATATTGAACAGCACTGGTGCCAGAACTGAGGGACTCCACTGCCCACATCTTTCCAGGTTGACACCGACCCATCCACTACCACCCTCTGAGCGTGATCCTTGAGCCAATTTGCTACCCGGTCTATTGTGTAATCATCCAAGGCAAATCCCCTCAGTTTATTGATAAGGTGGGATACCTTGTCAAAGGCCTTCTTGAAGTCCAGATACATAACATCCACCTCAACTCCTGCATCTAAACAATTGGTGGCCTTGTCGTAAAAGGAAACTAGGTTAGTCAGGCAGGACCTGCCTGCTAAAAACCCACGTTGGTTACCCCTCCGCATCACATTAGCTAGCGGGATCCCATAGATGTGTTCCTTGATAGTTTTTCTAGGATTTTCCCAGGGATAGAGGTAAGGCTGACTGATCTATAGTTCCCTGGGTCCTCCTTCCTCCCCTTCTTAAAGACTGGGACAACATTAGCCCTCTTCCAATCCTCCAAAACCTGACCCGAGCACCATGAGTGCTCATATATCCTTGCCAGTGGATCAGCTATGACCCGCACTAATTCCTTCATTACCTGTGGGTGGAGTCCCTCCGGTCCCAGTGATTTGAATATGTCCCAGACCCTCCAAGTGTCTTTTTACCATGTGTGCACTGGATGTTGGTTGGCTGATATTCCCTTTGTTGGTGTTCATAATGTATGTTGAGCTGTTCATCTAGATTCCCATTTAAGAAGACAGTCAAAAAACTCATTGAAAAGCTCTGCCTTGTCTCTGCTATTTGTCACATTAAGCCCCCCTGCTCGTCCTGTATGGGCCCTATGCTACCCCACACTCTCTTTTTGCTCCTAACGTACCTAAAGAAGGACTTTTTATTGTCCTTAATCGCTGACGCTAGCCTGAGCTGTGGAGTTGCCTTGGCCTTCCTGACTGACTCCCTGCAGGTGTGGACCAAAGACGTATACTCCTATTTGCTAGCTACCCCCAGCTTCCACTTCCTGTATGCCTCTTTTTTTGCCCTTAAAGTATACTGGATGCCCCTGGTTAGCCAAAGGGGCTTCCTGGCCCCATTGCCCCCTTTCCTCTGCCATGAGATTGACTCACTCTGAGCCCAAAGAATGGTTTCCTTGAGGAATGTCCACCCATCCTGGACCCTCAACGCATCTAAGTTCTTAGCTCCTAACACCCTGCTAACCAATCCCCTGAGTCTATTAAAGTCAACTTTTTTTTAAATTTAGCACCTGTGCCCTGCTGGGTATAATGCCCGCCCTTTGCTGGATAGTGCATATAATCATTTGGTGATCGCTGTCCCCTAAGTTGCCTTGAATCTGCAGGTCCCCCGCATGTTAACTGTATCAAACATGATAATTTCATGAGCAAACTAAGTTATATGTGATGTATTTTATGTTCCTAAGGTAGCAAAGTGAATTTAGATCTGTAAAGAGTGCTAAGAAAATAAGTTTTGCATATATTTAATTTTTTCCCCAAATTTCTGCTTTTTCCAGAAAAAAACAGGAGGAAAAAATGGTTTTCCACGGCTTCAAAATTTCCAGAAATTGTACGTATCTAGTAAAGGAGGGAACTGAATTCATGTCTCCCAGCACCACCACTGCCTCTTCTTTGTACATCTAGCCCTTTTTTTCCTATGTATTGTGGATTTTGCAACCTTAAAGTGTTCTTTAACCTAGTGTTCTGTTGGTCGTTCGTCATTTTATTTATTTTGTATCACAACTGTGTCAGATTATGAATCACAGCAAAGGCTCCAATCAAAGATCAAGTCCCATTGTGAGAGTCAACACATACCTACATTCAGATTCACACAATTAAAAGACAATCTAAATACAGAACAAAAAAACAGACTACATAACTCTAAGCACTGGCAGATCCACAGGCGGCACAATGACCCAGATGCACCCCATTTCCAGACTGCATCATGAGAGTAGCAGCTTTTTTTTAAGTCCCTAAATCCTGTTCCCCTTATACCTTCCCCGCCAGCACTTAGTACATCCTCTCTTCCCTTCTGGCTTCAGTGTCACATTCCCTCCCCCACCTGCTGCTGCCACTGTCCCTGGCTGATAGCAAGGGAAGCTCCAGAGAAGCTCCTGCCCCTCTCCAGTCGGGAACAGCAGCAGCAGTAGTGACAGCAGGACGGTTCCACTTCCCTGCCTGGTCCTCGCAGGTATTCCCTGCCAGCCCTTGCTGAGCACAGCTGGCTCTGGAACCTCTCCTCCTTGTGAAATGTTGTGGATTCAGAGGGTACAGAGGGAACAGTGGCAGAGGCAGACATGGGAGGGAGTGAACAGGAAAGGAGAGGACATGCAGCTGAAGGCAGAGAGAAAGGGAGGTTGAGCTGAAAGCTGGTGGGGAGGACAGCATTCTTATCTGATTTGGAGACCTTAAAAAAAGGTTACCCACTGCTGCTCCTGCAGCATGCTCTGCCTGCCCTGGGGGGCAGGGGGCAGGTGGGAAGCAGGGTGCAGCCTTTCGTTTTTACTTTTTTTGACTATGGGAAAATAAGAGAGCTCAGTTGCAAAGAACTCAGAAAGAACTCAGAAAGATTGCAACAGGTCTCTGATACCACAGAGTGCTGTCTGTAATTTCTGGGTTTAATCTCATCAAACTCATGTAGAAGTTTACATACCTTACAGTACTAATACTGCACAGTTCTCTGCAGCACCCTGGTTATGAATTGTCAATCTAGAGTCTTTGCAAATTTTCATAAGGACCTCTCTTACATGGCACAATAAAAATACTAAATTGTATGAGGGAAAATCTGACTTATGAGTAACAAAGGACAGCACATTTGGCAAAAGAGAAGCATGAGCTGATGGGCTGGCATTCACAAAAAGATGACAGGCAGAACTTCATTAAACTAAGTTTGTGTCTGATGCTATGAAAAAAAGGAAGCCAATGAGCATTGCAAAGAACAAGTAATGGGGTCAGAGAAGCAAGTCTAATATGAACTTTGTAACAGCTTTGTGCATGGATATAAAGGGAAAACACAACATTTTGTACATCCCAGAAAAAGACAAATACTACATATTCTCATGCCTGTTACAGGACTTGAGCTGTGAAGACAGAAAAGAAAGGCTGAATGCCATGTAGGAGAAAGAAGAGAAATCTGAAATGTCCTGAATCCTACAGTGAATGTAGGTTCCACATGATAATGCAGCAATCACAGATTTGTAGTTTATTAATTAACTGAGAAAATATGGGCAAACATATCTACCTTCCACATAGTCTTCATTACTTTGTTACTTCAACAGTATGAGACTTCCTTCACAGGAAATGAAAGCTTACAAAGCCATCCTATATTTTGATCATTCATCTTTTGAATTTACTTCCTTAAAAATTCATGCTAACGGGTGTTCAATTGATTTTGGTTTAAAAACACATACCTCTTTAAACAGTTTAGCGGGTGCTGCTATGGCCTTTTCTTCCTCCAAATATGAAGCCCAGCACCATGCTTTCTTTCCTTTAGAGGGTACAGCTGTAAAGAAATATGCAGTGTTAAAAATACTTTGGCAAAATTACTGTATTACTGATTTCCTAAAGAGTGCAACATAAAAGAAAAATAAGAGTGTGTCTGTCTCAAATCTCAGGTCTGTTTATAGGCATATATGGTATTTCTCAGGACTTAACTGAGAAAAAATTCTGCCTGTAGCCTTATAACTAGAAAATTCCTGAGGCTTTCTTTGAAATGGCTTCTACATATCCAAATTGATTAGTAAGAAAACAAGTCGTATTACGATGACTAGAAAAAACACATCTGATCTTGCCTTCTGCCTGATTCCCATCAGTCCCCCAAAGAAAATATCAGAAGTCTGAAATGTATGATCTTAGTACACCTATGGAAAAAAATCAATCCAAATAATACAAAGGAACATTCAACATTTCAGAAAGTTTATCTAGCCTACAAATAAAGATTTGCAGTTCAGGGAAGTATTTTCATTCAGGGCAGCATTCAAGACACACTTAAGAGCTTTTCTGAATCACAGCTATCATAATTTCTTCTTTGGCACTATTCAGAGTGCTTAACTCAAAACCATCACTTTGTACTTTGATGTTCTGGGATGGAATGGCAAGAATTTATAAATCATTTCTCCAAACTATCAGAAATGTCACTAGCTCTTTTTCCACTACTTAGGAAATCACATGGTACAAATCTCTAATTTCACCCAGAATTAAACTCTAAACTTACTCAGAATATGTTCAGTGTTGTAACAGTCCATCATAAATAGATACAGAGGCCTTGCAAGATAGGCTACCCATTACCAGTTGTGTCCACATACCCCAGTGCCATACTATTGATCTTTGCTTACAGTATGCCTTCCTATGCCCCAACTCACCCCTCCCCCACAGCTCTCCCTCCCCCACAGCTCTCCCTCCCCCCACAGCACATTTAGCTTGCCATTTTTTATTATAAGGTCACTGTGGCTGGACTAAAGGTTACTCAGTATCTAGCAAAATGATCCTTATTGGGCACTATCACAATAGAAATAAACAACATCAAAACTAGTCTGGCTATCTATGCACAAATATCACTTAGCTCTGTACCAACAACCTATACCTATGCTATACCCCTCCGGAAGAAAATCTGCCAGAATCATCAGATTATTACAAGGACTGGACAAACAGATTGCTTGGGACAGATATATGCTTGTTTTATCTGAAATTTACATCATATTTGAAATCAGATCTTCATATCTGTTTGTACAGTATACCTATTTGATGGATTGTCTATCACAATAATATAGACTAAAATGACTGCTTCTGAATCTATGATCAGAACTTTTATTCCACACTCTTTTGCTGAAACAACACTTCCATGAATAAGCTAAATCTGAACAGATTATTCTGTCAGTGGATGGCAATATTTTCAGTAGCAAATCTGCTTTGCTCCTTTATCATGTGAATCATGCAGTTCTCACTTTGGAACAAATGCCTGCATAAATAACACTTAAACTTCAGTAGCAATACTACAGTTGTGTCAAGTGGGGCTCCCCCTTAGCATCCTAAATGTTGCAGGTGCCTTGCTGATCTGCATGCTTCAGCTGTCTAGTGGGTAGCAGAGCACTATAAGCTCTCTGTTGATTAAGGAACAGGCAGTTGCTGCTGCTGTGAAACATCTGTGAGATGCCTCACAGTCCACCACAATAAATATATTGGAGAGTAGTATATACAATGCTGAGAGCAAATAATTAATGTATTATAACTGCCTATCCTGTTGATTTTCCTAAAATAATCTATCATTCTAATAAATTGAATATACTGCACTCATTTTAAATGATTTTATTAGGCTCTTTATGCAGCATATATCCCCTTGGACTGATTAAGGCAATTATTTTGAAACAGTTCCACAAATGTGTCTAAATTTCCAGCAGAGATTGTAGATACAAAAATTGTTCCCGAAGGAAAAAAAATAAACTTGCACTTTGGTTTACTACACATCTCTGAATGACAAGTAACCCAGGTCTTGTCCGCAAAGTAAGCCGACCTCTGTGTTCCAGAGCAGCATTTTTCAGGCAGGTAGCCCTGTTTCAGGCATACAAGCAATACAGCTATATCCACATGATCTTACAGTGGGCTAATTAGCACTACTGAACAACAATGCCAACTAGTTTGCCCCCTATTTAGGCCATTCCAGTTACCACACAGCTACAGCTATACTTCTGCTTTATGCTACCTGCCCACCACAATGTACTTTACAATACTACTCTAGAGCTTGATATGTTTACTGAGAAGATGTAGCCAAAGTAAACTGGATTCCTGTTTCTATCAAGGCCCCTTTACACCACTGGCTCAGTCTCTTAACATCACATAAAGTCCACTTACACTTTTATATACCCCTTCTCACTGCCACAGCCAGGTACACAGGCTTTACTGCAAATGAGAATCAAGAACCAAGCGCTGGTTACTTTCTTCAAAGCTACCTAGAAGTTGTCCTGACCCTTCACTCCTCTAACATTAATTGCTATAAATATAATTATGATAGAAAAATTCCATCAACTGAAACATAATCAACACAGTATAAAAATTCAGTGTAATAGTTTATTTTCTACAGCTATGATGGATAAGCTTGACTTGCTGCAAACAGGGTATGAACAGTCAAACAATTACACCATTTTAAAGATATAAACTGGGCTAGCATAAACTAGCTGATCTTTGCAAAATGTTCTCTACCACACTAAATTCATCTAGACCCTAGTAATATAACCCTTTTTCATTCAAAGGTAAGTGTTCTTGGTTTAGCAGAACTGATCTAGCTGAGCCACACTAAAAATCCTTCCCTTACCCCAACTTTACAGTTTAATGGCTTGTCTACTTCAGCAAAACTTCAGAATCTTTATTTTCCCCACTTATCAACTTACTTTGCTTTAAAAGGGCCATATCACCTCTTCTTTTTCTTCTGGCTCTCTGAGAAACTCTCAGAATCCTCCCTTCCTGCTTCTCCTCCTAGATTCAACATTTAAGAAAGTAATCATTTCATCAGTTATACAGCCAAAAAAAGTTATAAAGGATACGCCTCTCTCCAATATCATACCTTAACCTGTACAATTCTAATACCAAATTAAAAAAAAAATCAAGGATGAATTACAACAAACACTATAAAATTAAAAACAACTTAAAGGGTCCTTAAATTTTGGAACTGCATTCTTTTAAAACTAGCTAGCCATAGAGATTTCAGATCAGGTCCTTATATTCTGGAATTGAATTCTTTTAAAACTAGGTAGCCTGCTTTTTGCGTTAGAGACTCCAGACTCCTCAGAGCAGGGAGAGCTGGAGCTAGTTATCATTCTCTTCACTGTGTTCACTCTTCCAAAATAATCTAAAAGAAACAGTATTTCTTTAAGAATTGTATCCTTGTTTAAAAAGCAAACTACAACTTTTTCCTCTTATGCAATGGAAACTGACATTGGTCCTTTTTACTTTATTTCAATGTTTCTGCATTAACAAATACAGTAATACCCTGAATAGTTACATGATTCATTTCGGAGACTGCTCTTGCATGAAGGCACTGAACTGTCTCTTAAATTTTGCCCACAAAAATGTCTCATAGACAGCTACAAATTCCCCTCCCACAACTCAAGTGGCTTCTATCTCTGAGGCAAAGTTATTCCCCATTGCATTAAACCTCTATTTCTACCACCAATTCTGTAAAACCTTCTGGAAAAATTAATGCACTGACACAGTGAAAGGATCTTATTTGCTTTTGACATAATGCTTTTATCCTATGAAAAGCTGTAATTCCAAAAGAAAAACAAAATTTATTCCCAAATCATCACACATGAATTTCCATTTTCTTGCTTTATTTATATTATACTATGATGACTATTGCTTTATATTATAATTTTTATCATTTACAGTTTTACTTCTTTAACGAATGCTCCAAAACAACCTTTCACAATGCATAGGTTTAAATGAGTGCTATCTGCTTTTGCATACATCTAAGAGACATAAGAAATCATGCATGCAAGCTGGCAATCAGCTGGAGGTTTATAATCAGTGACAGGACATGCTAGCATACTCCTGGCTAAGGCAAAAAACAAAGAAAAACCTCATACTTTTTTGTATCAGAAACATGAGTAATAGTGTAGGGCTTAAGCAAAGATATGTCAAGCATAGAAGACATGTTTCTCCTAAATGCCAGAGTATAGTTATGAGTATAGGTAATAACTGTCATCATAAGCCAGTGCCTGCCAAATGTCTGTAACAAAGCAAGCAGGCATACTGACAGCAAGAAGCCCCATGTGTTTGTCTGACAGCAGAATATTCTGTGATGGTTGTCACTTATTCCTAGAAACAAAAATAACAGAGCACAGGATGGATTGTACCCCAACAGCTAAGTCAAGCACCTAGAAACTACAGGTAACATTAAGGCATAGCTCAGATAAACAAAGAAGTGGTGACATGAAGCTAATTAACAAGTGTCACTTTCAGGAAGTTGAAAGAAACTGATACAGCTTTAAAAAAATCATTTCCCAGACACAAAGGGCCAAATTCATCCCTCTATTTTGTCAGAGATAACTTTGGATACATCTTTAATCTTCATTTTTCAATCTAATATTCTATCAAATACTACAATATAGATTGTGTGAGAATTATGTACTCCAAAGTGCACTGCAGTCCAAAAAGAATACTAAAATGTAAAAGTTTGACCTAAGTGGTCACTTGAAACTTTTCATGTTCCACTGTGATGTATAAAAATGCTCAATAGTTAGCCGAATCAGGGTAGATGCTGCTATCCCTGAATAAGTCAAAATTCCCACCAAAACATCTGCAGGATCGCTTCTATGTATCATACTAACTGTTTCTTCTGTCTTCTCTTTCTTCTCTTCTCCATCCTCCTGGGATTCTCCTTTAAGAGGAAATTTTGTTTTTCTTTTCCGAGGGCCTTTGGAATCATCTTCCCCATTGCAGTCCACACTTTCTTGGTCCTCCTTTGGTTCTCTGTGAAAAAAATCATAATGACAAAAACCAACATCATTTCAACTTCTGAATCTCTTAATCACTGAAAAATATATTGGTCTTGAAGTATCCTACAAAATAAATTCTTTGAATTACTATTAAGAATAACAGCTGTCAAAATGTTAACCTGAACGTTACAGCAGCTCTCCATCTATAATGAACAGGTTCCATGTATTCTAAACATTTTCTCTTTCCCACTTGCCATCAAAATTCATAAAGAAGCAATTCCTGTGAAATGTTTGAGACTACAGGGCAGTTTAAAGAAAAGAGAGAACTAGTAATTACTAAGCCTGACAAAATCCATTTAGAATAAGCTGACATGTAATGGTGGATTGATAGGCAGGCAACCAAACAGACAACTTTGAGGCAATTAATTAAAAATAAAATGCTTCAAAACATAAATGTCAGATTCACCCAGTGAAACTCACAATTCATAGTAAGTATGCAACAGAAAACCTTAATTTGTGGTGAGATGAGTAGCATCAGTGTACCATCAAAACAGAAGGAATTGAGAAATTATCACAGGTTGGTGTTTGCAGTTGCTGACATATTATATAGCTGTTGCACTTAACCATAATTAACTCAGCACACAAACCATCTGATCGTTGATCATCCTAATTTTAGTTACTATAAAACAGAGTGGGAGTCTGGCACTACTTCATTCAGACCAGAGATGAATTCTCCATTGCTTCCATTAACAATATATCATTCAAAAGACAGGATTTTCTGGGCAACTAATGCAGCTTTTAATCTACGCATTACACAAGAATAAAGATCTCATATGCTACCTCCGACTATTCAGAAAAAACAAAAGATAACTGGACCTTTAAACCCACCAAAATCAGGTTGCTTAATTTTTTAACCTGTTTTACTCCATTACATTCTCTTCTCATACTTGGTTCACACCAAATTCCTTGTGTGTGAGACAACAGCACCTACTTGTTTTTCATCTGCTGTGCACATTTCTGGCTGCAAAATTTCCCTTCCGAAACAAATTCTTCTACAGATCCATAGTGATAACAGTTTTCACAGAAAACAAGTCCGTCCACTTTTGCAGTTTCCTTCAACTTCATGGGGATCCCCATCTTTTCAGAAAAGGCTGGTAAAGAAAAGAGTCACTGAGCAACACGTGAAATTTCACACCAGAGAGTAGATCTATGGGGCAACCAGAGGATCTACTGTTAGCTCTTGAACCAATGCCTACTGTTCAAGAAGGACCAGCGAGCACCTGAGGGCTGGCCTTCACCAGTACAGGTTTTAGCATTCAGTACAAGACACCTATCTATTAACTTCATATTTCTGCAATCATTGGAATAGAAAATATATTAATGTACTGGTACATGCCAAGATGTTGATCTATGTGGCATAAATTTACTGTGGAAGGCAGATGTGCTGAAGACTGAGGTACTCCAGCCACAAGATAGGCATTGAATGGGCAGGAGCTGTGCAGACTCCCTCATGCTGTCCTGCCCACATGCCTCATTCCTAACCTTGTAGAACTGCTGTTATAATTGCCAACTGTATAAAAGGAATTTGGTGGTTATGTTTTTCTTTTTCTTTAAAGACTGATTTCTGTAATTAAAAGCCTAAGCCAAAAGGCTTCCTCCTGTTATAGCATCTTCCTTCAAAAGTTTGCATTCAATTGCTCCTGTACTCTACCAAAAGAAATAAATATACATTTTACCTCTTACTGCTCTGGTAAGAAGGCACTTAAAAAAGGACCCTTGAAGAAGTACTTACAGCTAGAAAATGACTGAGAATGGAGCTTTTTATTCCTTTATGTCCCTTAAAAGGTAAATTCTATTTCACAAACAAACTCTCCTTAAATACAACTGTTTTTTAAACTTCAGGCAAATGAACTCCAGAATCTATATCCTTCTCCACTTGAAGAATCCATCACTAATAGGGTATAAAGTAGTACTTAACAGCTTTCTGTTAGTTAAGTGGCAGCATGGCCTTTCCTCAAGTAATTTCAGTCTAAAGGAGTCATGACAATAAGCATATCTTTGGAGATGAACAAATGTATCTGCCATAATGCAAGATGTACATCCCCATCCTGAAGTCATGGCTAAAACATAATGCACTGAATATATCTAATTTCACCCATAAGAGGTTAACTAGATTGAAGATGAAAATGTATATTTTACATAATAAAACTGTGATCACACAAATATAAGAAAGATCTAAGAGATGTAAGATATAAGAGATGATACAGATATAAGAGATACCTAATTCATGATACACTGCATGGGGATACTATGTTAAATATTCTTTCACTTTCGTGTCACTAATTTGAATCTTATAAGAGCCAATACTGCCTGAAAATCATTTCGAGTTATCAGTCTTGTTCCTTCACAGACACTAAACAAGCATCCAGATAACAAGATCACCAGTGACAATGGATAATAATTATAATAATAAGTCATGCAAGTTAGTAATTTCAGGAAAGAGGCTGAAGGCTGAATAATCATGAAAAATAAACTATTATTTCTTTCTCCAGGTCATAGGGAATGCATATTAGTGAGATGGCATGAAAAAAAATTATTGCCATTACTTGTGCTGCTGTGGAAATTTACTTATTGCCATTTGGTTAATTTGATATTCATAAAAATTACAAAAAATATTATTACCTTTAATTTAAAAGCAAAAAAAAAAAACGATAAAACGTAACATCTGCAAGGACAAAAACACACGGGAGTAAGAAATTATGGGAGTTGTTATATTTTCTTTTCAATGCTATCTTATTGATGCTGCATCCAGGCCATATAAAAATCGTTTTGAGTATCTGTTATAATTTAGGGCACCTTTCTGAGGGCAAAAAAGATACATTTCCCTTATGCCAATATTTTATTTCTTCAAAAAAACTTAAATCTATCCCCATTACCATGAGACTAAACACTCATACAAACCTTCAAATTTGATTGTAAATGATTTGTATGCAACAGTAAATGTACATCTATAGCAGGATAGTTATCCAGTGTGATGGAGTTATAAGGAACAAACAGATACCCCAAATTTAAACTGCCATGAGTTATGTTATACAAAAAGCAAATAAACAATACCCTGTAAAGAAGCAGTTCTCAACTTTTTTGGACTCGATTTCCACAACTTCTGTGAACTGAGTGGCACCCAATTTCAAAAACTAATATATATATTACAGTGCTTACCTCCCTGCAGAGGGGCTAGGCAGTGGATATGGAAGACTGGCCTAAGCCTCTGCTCATTTCCTCACACTTTGCTTGGCACCCCTTCAAGGATCTGGCTGCAACCTGGGGTGTTATAAAGACTATTTCTAATCCACAGCACTCTTGGCATGTGCACTTGTAGCAGCTCAAATAGCAGCAGAGATCTGTGCCTCAGCACACGTGCCTGAACATGTACTTTGGTGTGGGGCAAATTGGGCCACTTGGGGCAAACTGACTCTGTCCAGCTCATCCCGGATCTTCAGCCTGGGGAGCTGGAGGCTGAGGCCAGCACCTGTGCTGGCCCCAGCAGTATGAAAAGCTGCCCTGGTGAGCAGCTCAGGGCTACTTGCTCTCAGGGCAGCATCAGATACGCAAGGACATTTAGTTCCCTAGAGACAACTAGTGGCGGTACATCTTGTGCTGCCACTAGTTATCCCTGGGGAATGCTTGTGCCACACATGCTCTGGTGTGCAGCAAGTTAGCCCAGGTGGGGTAGAGGAGGTTCCTTTGAGATGCTGCAACACACACGTGAACACTCCTTCAGACGTGGCCAATGGCAACAAGAAGATACAGAATACAGATGAAGTTCAAATAGAGTAAGCAATCTGGGAACATTTTACTTAAATAGATCACACATTAAAAATTAAATTCTTTTGGTTCTAAAGTTAGATGAAAGTAAGATATTCAAAGGCTACTGCCACTATTCTCTAAAATTACTCCTTCCAGATGTTTAATAACAAAAGTTTGACTTTTTGTAATTCTTTCAATTTAAAAGGCATTTATTTTGACACCCATTCATACTCATGTAATAAACAGCATCCCTTCAACTTTTCCATGTACAGGATAGAAATTGTTAGAAGAAACCCAACTAAGCATTTTTAAAATCTCTGGAAGTTTTTTATAGAGCAATATTACATTCAAGAACTATAACAAATTAAAATCAAATACACTCTTACTGACCTTCTTGAGCAGTTGGCACCATCCAGGTTGTGGTGGCTGTTGCCTTTTTAACACTTTCTATCTCAGTTTCATCTGTGATTACTTCCAAGGCTCCAAATTCATTCACTCTAAACTGATAAAATAAAGACAAATAAAGTAAAATTCAGAAAGACAGTAATGATGGGTGCTCCCTTAACTTGTGTTCTATACACCTAGTTTCTTGTAACAGTGCCCTTCATCATACTATCTGGCAGCTTAGTGAGACTGCTTATCCCTTAAACATACAGAAAATAGAAAATTGCTCCTCTGAAGCAAAACACATACCCATGCTGTTACATAAAACTGTTAAAATATAGTATTATATGCATATATAAATGCATCCTACACACGCAAACATACAGATAGCATCTAGCATAAACAAAAAGATCCACAGGAAAATTAACTATTATTCTGCCTTCTGGATCTTCTGTACTACCAGTAAAAAAAACTCCTTTGTCATTGAGTATTTTTGTCCAAAGTGAATGGAAAGCAATTAAGAAAATACACGTCTTACAGAATACTGTACTTTCACCATCTACTAAAAGGTGCCGGTTTTGCCACTGCAAATTGCATTCAAGCAAACACCTCAAAACAGTTTACAAATTGTTCAGTTAGATCAGTAATTCTCATCCTTTTCAGAGTACAGGAACCCCTCAACACATTAGAGACACCCCTCATTAGACTCTAGGCAGCCCTTCCATAACTTTTGTGAACTAAGCAAATAAACCTAATTTATACTTATTACAATGCTTACCTCCTTGCAAAGGAGCGAGACACTGGGAAGGCACGGCAGTGGCCAGGCAGGGAACAGCCTGAGCCTGTACTTCCCTGCTTAGCTCCTCACACCTGGTATACCCTCACACCTCAGGGCACCCTTCAAAGGATCTGGTACCACCCCCAGGTACCCTGGCACCCCATCTGAGAATCACTGAATTGCATGCTGCATGTGATACAACCACCGGACACGAATAAGGTTCAGTATATATTATGCTTATACCAGATCAGTGACAGGTGGGCAGAGTGGAGGTGGTCTTCAGGGAAAATCTGGTCCATGGAAGGTATGCAATGTCCTGCATAGAGGGTGTTTACCTTGTGCTTCAGGCTGGGGATAGAATGGGGATTCTGCTGGTGTACCAAATACTCCACTGCACAACCGATTCCCCAATTGAACTCAGCTGGTCTCACAGGTGGTGTTGAAGATGTCCAGACTTACTATCTTAGGAAAAGAATGTCAAAGAAATAACCCACAAGTCACATCTAGCCCACAGAACTCTATCATCTGTCTGCTTGTGGGTCTCAGACCTGTGTGCTGCATGCAACATGCACTGGCCCCAGTCCTGTGCACTGCATACAGCTCACAGGGCCAGCCTGGGACATGCGCCAGATAGCTGTGCATGCTAGATCAAGGGCTAATCTAGACTGGGCCCACAAACTGGCCATGTGCATGCTGGATCCAGACCACAAAGCTTGGTCTGCCATGGGGGCCATATGCAGCATGTGCCCTGGACCAGCCCCATATGCCATTTGCCAGGTGGGGCAGGAGCTCATGCCTGCTGTATGCAGCACATGAGGCTGGAGCCAGGGCCTACTGCAGGCAGCACCTAGGGTCAGCCTGGGGCATGAGTTGCATGTGGCACCTACACTGGACAGGCCCTGCATGCTGGATGTGCTGCTGGTGCAGATCAGGCCCTTAGACAATCTACAGGTACCTTAATCAGCACATAGGGC